TGGAACAGGGATCAGGATATTCCCAATCCCCCCGGAATGGGGATCAGGACATTCCCAATCCCCCTGGGATGGGGATCAGGATATTCCCAATCTCCTTGGAATGGGGATCAGGACATTCCCAATCCCCCTGGAAAAGGGATCGGGATATTCCCAATCCCCCAATTAATTCTCCTTTGCGGGGGAATTAAGGCTCCATCCCAGACAATTCCCAGCTGGAAAGAAAACCCCCATTTCCTTTCTGGTTTTATTAATTTGTTTATTAAAGCCCGATACAGAGGTGTGGGGAAGGGAAGGAGAAACCCCCAAAGATCAAAACATTTTTATTTCAGACACGTAATTAATAAAACTAAACCAACCCAAACGTGAGGCAGCACAGCCCTGGATGTGGCTGCCCCTTCCCACCCCCCAACGCTGATTTTGAGGTCCCCTACTCTGATTTATGCAAAAAGGAGCAAATTTGGAGCCTGATCTGGTGCTCTGCACCCTTGGTCACATCCAACCCTTGGAGCAGAATCAGCCCTGGCAGGATTGGGGGATCCCTTGGAGCAATCCCAAGGGAAATGGGGCAAGACACGGTGAGCAAGCAAGGGAAAAATCAAGGAAAACCTGCATGGATTTACCTGAAACGCTATAAAAATAAAGAGGACTAATTAACTAATTAAGACTAACTTATCAGTTAAATGACGCTGCCAGACTGGTCCATAGAGTTTAGGCCCTGACCAGGATTCTTTAAAATCATCTTTTCTAGAAAATTCTAGGTTTTGCTATCATTCTCTAGTATATACACACACGCACTTGACCCCACTGCAGTGGGGGCACAACCAGCCTGAAAAATAAATTACAAACCCCCCCAGTAGCATCAAATATACAGATCACTCCTTGCAGCTACTTTTTTTTTAGTTTTTTTCTTCTTTTTTTTTCTATTTTTGAGGTATTTTTTCAGCGTTTTTTTAAATTTTTGCTTGGCTCTAAGTGAATTCTACCTGCGGAAGCACCAGCATCATTTGAAGTATTTTTCTGTGTGTTTTAAGCGTGATTGTTTTCATTGTAAATGTATAAACCCCCTTACTGGGCCATTTACACCCTGGATCTGGGATGTGCTGGGAGTGCAGTGGAGCAGCTGCCACGATCTTGTGGAGATATTGATGGAGAAAATGGCAAAAAGGCTCCACATGGTGATGGGTCTGTCCCAGCTTGTTCAAAGTTCATCTGGGGAGAGGGGCTGGGCTGGGCTGGGGGGGCTCCCTGAGGAGGAGGAGGATGGTGGGAGGAGCCCATCCTGCTGTATCTCTGTCCCTGCCTTCCTCCTCCTCCCTCCAGGGTCTTCCTCCAGCTCTTTCCCACGCTGGTGGTGGCCTTGGGGACAGGACAGTGACACATCCCACCTTGCCACGGGTGGCACATGGGGCCTGGCCAGCCCAGCCCCTTCCCCAGCAGGCAGCAAAGTGGGGGTGAGATCACATCATCCAAAATCCTTTTAAAAA